TATTAATTAAAGTAAATGATAGAAACATTCAAATTTTTTATTGTACTGTAGTCTCAATCTATTAATATCATCATTTGTTACAAGTTGAACTTTTATGGCATTTAGAATTTTTATTTAGAATTGTTATTTTTACACTTGCAGCGATTTGTTGTGCACTTAGTTGTGCAATTGCAGCGAGTGTAGCCTTGACCCCCAGTCAATGATTGTGAAGATGCGATGGTTCGTAGTGATTTACCTCAGTGCCAACTGACGACAATAAGAGCAGTTTTTCGTGAAGAATTGAAAACTCACTTCTAGCATTCAGTTGTTTTAGAACACCATGTTCCGTTCCTAATTTGTAGAAACCGCCCTCGACGCTCATGACAACTGCAATCACGCTTCAGGGATCACCGTGACCTCTGTCAACATCTGGAACACCGATGCGTACATTGTCACCCACTTCACCATCTTTAAATTTTGTATTTGATGTTTTAAGCATCTTAGCACCTTGAGTTTGCAAGCCAGTATGAGATGCTGATCTGTGTCCCATGTTGTCTTGTTTGTTCCCTCCGTACCCTTCGTCTTCTTCATTGGGTATTCCACACATAGGATGGACATCGTTGCCACAGGATCCAAAAGAATGATCTGCACTACAATGCTTTTCACAAATTATATAGAATCTGTTGGCCACATTATTGTCACGCAACTAGTCTGGACGTTCCGCCACGGCAGTAGATCTGTTAGCTGAGGATGTCGTTGCATTTATGGCAACCTCCATTTCTTGTTCAATGTTATTAAGATCTTCCTCAGTAATTATTTTATCGAGAGCCCATATATGGAAACTAACATGGATTTACATTTTTTTTTCTTTTGACAGCCATCTGCTATGTCTGTCTCATGGTCTGACGGCCCTTTTGATCCATGTCGCCTTGCATTTAGAATGCTATACAAACAATAGCTAAACAATATGTTAATCTCAATGAAAATCACCCAGAATAATGAAAATGCGATCACAACTTAGTCTAGATAGAACATTGGCCAGGACATCCCGGCCAGTGCGCGCATTGGCCGGCAAATGTACAAAATACGCTGTCAAGTTTAAGCACTTCGGACTTTGGCCAGTACGTCCCGGCCAATGGCCAATGTACAAAATACGATCTTAGTGCTCAGTTCTTCGGGCTTTGGCCAAGAGAGCCGGCCAATGCGCGGATTGGCCGGCCAATCCGCGCTTTGGCCGCCGGACTTCGGGCTTTGACCGTAACATATATATACACACACACACACACACACACATATATATATATATATATATATATATATATATATATATATATATATATATATATATATATATACATGAACACGTATAAATACATATAGAAATACATAAATGTATGGGTGTATTAGGATTGACTGAGTCACTATTAAATCTATATATTGTTTGCTCTAACTGATTTATATTTCATTCTGTCAGTCAGATGAAAAATTTCAAAAACTTTGCTCTTTTAAAGCTGTAAGTTGTCTTCATAGTGAACATTTGAACATTTCCTTATCACTTGTATGCATCTTTTATCATTAATAACATAAATAAATGCATCTCTGTTCTATAACTTGGGACTATTGTCTCTGAACAGCCTTCTTTCAGTTTTTCTCATTTACATTTATATAAAAAAACACCAGCAGCAATGCTACCATTGACAACTTACAGCAATATTTACAACCTACAGAAATACAGTCATCTACAACCTACAGCTATAGTCATCTACAACCTACAGCTATAATCATCTACAACCTACAGCTATAATCATCTACAACCTACAGCTATAATCATCTACAACCTACAGCTATAATCATCTACAACCTACAGCTATAATCATCTACAACCTACAGCTATAATCATCTACAACCTACAGCTATAATCATCTACAACCTACAGCTATAATCATCTACAACCTACAGCTATAGTCATCTACAACCTACAGCTATAATCATCTACAACCTACAGCTATAATCATCTACAACCTACAGCTATAATCATCTACAACCTACAGCTATAATCATCTACAACCTACAGCTATAATCATCTACAACCTAGAGCAATAGTTATCTACAACCTGCAGCAATAGTTATCTACAACCTACAGCAATAGTTATCTACAACCTACAGCAATAGTTATCTACAACCTACAGCAATAGTTATCTACAACCTACAGAAATACAGTCATCTACAACCTACAGCTATAGTCATCTACAACCTACAGCTATAGTTATCTACAACCTGCAGCAATAGTTATCTACAACCTACAGCAATAGTTATCTACAACCTGCAGCAATAGTTATCTACAACCTACAGCAATAGTTATCTACAACCTGCAGCAATAGTTATCTACAACCTACAGCAATAGTTATCTACAACCTGCAGCAATAGTTATCTACAACCTACAGCAATAGTTATCTACAACCTACAGCAATAGTTATCTACAACCTACAGCAATAGTTATCTACAACCTACAGCAATAGTTATCTACAACCTACAGCAATAGTTATCTACAACCTACATAAATAGTTATCTACATCCTAGAGCAATAGTCATCTACAACCTACACCAATAGCTATCTACAACCTACAGCAATAGTTATCTACAACCTACATAAATAGTTATCTACATCCTAGAGCAATAGTCATCTACAACCTACACCAATAGCTATCTACAACCTAGAGCAATAGTCATCTACAACCTACACCAATAGCTATCTACATCCTAGAGCAATAGTCATCTACAACCTACACCAATAGCTATCTACAACCTAGAGCAATAGTCATCTACAACCTACACCAATAGCTATCTACATCCTAGAGCAATAGTCATCTACAACCTACACCAATAGCTATCTACAACCTAGAGCAATAGTCATCTACAACCTACACCAATAGCTATCTACAACCTAGAGCAATAGTCATCTACAACCTACACCAATAGCTATCTACATCCTAGAGCAATAGTCATCTACAACCTACACCAATAGCTATCTACAACCTAGAGCAATAGTCATCTACAACCTACACCAATAGCTATCTACAACCTAGAGCAATAGTCATCTACAACCTACACCAATAGCTATCTACAACCTAGAGCAATAGTCATCTACAACCTACACCAATAGCTATCTACATCCTAGAGCAATAGTCATCTACAACCTACACCAATAGCTATCTACATCCTAGAGCAATAGTCATCTACAACCTACACCAATAGCTATCTACAACCTAGAGCAATAGTCATCTACAACCTACACCAATAGCTATCTACATCCTAGAGCAATAGTCATCTACAACCTACACCAATAGCTATCTACATCCTAGAGCAATAGTCATCTACAACCTACACCAATAGCTATCTACAACCTAGAGCAATTCAATGCATGCTTGAGAATGTGCCTGGATCATATTACTTAAAGAGGGTATAATTTTTATGTTGTTAAATGAGGTGGGGTTGTTGAAACTCTGCCTTTGAAAACAAACAAGCAACTCCTGTTATTTCGTCTCATTACATCTTCACAGTTTAAAAAAGTCAACTCATTGCAGTTTTTCTAAATGATGGGATAATCATCTTAGTTATTCTTGTCTAAATGATGGGATAATCATCTTATTCTTCTTAAACTCACGGGGAGAAAACCTGGAATTTTAAGATACAATTTCCCAGCCAGGAAATCTGATGAATAGTCAGGGAATTTTCATAATAGTCAGGGAATTTTCATAATAGGGAATTTTCATAATAGTCAGGGAATTTTCATAATAGTCAGGTAATTTTCATAATAGTCAGGGAATTTTCATAATAGTCAGGGAATTTTCATAATAGTCAGGATTTTTTTAACCCCCAAATATAGTGGGATTTGGACCAGGCATTAGCCTAGCCTAGTGAAGTATGCATTAGCCTAGCCTAGTGAAGTATGCATTAGCCTAGCCTAGTGAAGTCTGCATTAGCCTAGCCTAATGAAGTCTACATTAGCCTAGCCTAGTGAAGTCTGCATTAGTCTAGCCTAGTGAAGTCTGCATTAGCCTAGCCTAGTGAAGTCTGCATTAGCCTAGCCTAGTGAAGTCTGGCCAGTTTTCATGGTTTAAAGTTGAGCTGCACAAAACTAATCTTGCTGTATTGGAATAAACCAAAAAAAAAATATCAGTTACACTCAATTTGCTATCGTTGCTACAATTTCCTATATATTTTTTCAGGGATGCCACTTTTCTGAATTATCCCTTTCCGAGTTAGCAAAATTTGACTTAAAAAATGTCTGGATTTGAAGTTAAAAAACAAGACTGTTTTGACTTTCAAAAATAATTTTATTAAGAGCCTTTTTAATATTGATCTGTTTTCTGCCCATCATGCAAATTGACCTGGTACAACATCTGCTACTATACTAGCTTAGGACTTAGGGTTACTCAACATTGTCTTGACATGATTCTTTTACTTGTTACTTGTTTTTAAAGACACTGTAACGTTGTTAAATTACTAGTATCGCACGTGAATACAGTCTTGTTTAATATTATCTCTCGCCCATTTTGAGGATAACCATTTTAGCAGACTGTTTCACGGTTAGCCAGTCATATTCTGGAATTCTGGAGAAACATAGATTATTAATAAAAACACAAAATTTGCAAAAGTTTATGGCGTTCATGACAAAAATAAAAAGGCTAATGCATTATGAGCCAACTACAAGTATCCCATAGAGTGAGAGCTAACAGTTTTAAAAAACTGTTGTAAATAGGGCTTTCTTGAACTTTAAAGTGTGTCTGATCAGCTTAACTCAGTATATTAATAATAATTAATAAACAGTTGCTTGTATTGGAGGAGGTTCTAGAAATATAACATAACATTATGAAATCAAGATTAGACTTCTATTTTAAACTATATTTTGTTATGTGCACAATCCATTAAATATTAATTTTTGTTTAAAGATTGTTATGAAGTTAAAATCACTAAATAAATGTATAAATAACATAATAGGAATCAAATGTCTTGAAAAGTAAGTATTCTCAACTTTATTATTAAAAAGTTCTGATGTGACATTAAGTTTCAGGGTTTAAATATTTCAGTTCTAGTATTGAATTTTAGGATATGATTCACTTTGAAAGATAATTGTTACCCCTATAAAATGTCTGCTTTTTTCTAGTTTAATTTAATTTGGCAAGTTTGTTCAATGGTTATGCATGCTGAAAATGATATGAAAAATAGCAGGGAATTATCTTGTCAAAAAATTGTGGGAACCCTGATAATTAATTTGTCCAAGTCCTCAATCAGAAAATATGCTATATATGTAGAAGCAGGAAAATTTTTCCTTTTAAAATGAATGCATCAATCTATTTTGATTTATGGATGCTAATTAAATTATACGACTACTAGACGACCCCAGTTTCCCATTGCTAAGCGGGCTTTAGGCTGTAGTGCACAACACAAGCATATATCACACTATGTCCAACCCAGGGGGGAATAGGGTCATAGGAACATAAAGTTTTGTGGATGCTTTGGTGGGGGGGGGGGGGGGGGGGGGGGGGGGGTAGGTTGGCTTAGCTGTAACTTTCATATTTAAAATATAACATTCACTTAAATAACAACCAAAGTAACAAAACACCATATTATTTATTTAATACCCAAATAAAATCCTGTATTTATAGGTTTTTTTTTTTGCTGTGTTTTTTTAATACCGACAAATTATTATTATTATAACGGTCTGTGCATTAAAGATACAAGTTACATGTTTGCTATATAAGTGACTTTTTGCTCATAAAAATTTTTATTTCTTAATTTGGTACTAACACCCATAGCTATCTAACCTGAACATTTCTGATTTCTATAGCTTACGGTTAACCTTTTATTGCGATATGAAAGATGGTACACACACACACACACGCCCCCTCCCCCAGGCAAATTTTCACACTACTACGCGGACAGCGGCTATCTTCTAGCGGGTATTACATCATTTATTGCCAGCGAGGCACCATAAACTATACAGCAATTTATCGGCCAAGCATCGATTTTTTTTATATGTATGTAATTTAAAATTCCACACACATTGCAGATTTTCTGATCTCCAACAGTAACATATAAATAAATATAAATCTACAAACTTGTAAACATGTGCTTGATTTTAGTAAAATACTAGATTATAATTTTTTTTAAATTGTCAATAATTCAGAATAGTTTCCCAATACTTTTCAGTGCCCCTGAAACTACAACAATTTTATCAATTTTTCACTTTTTATTTTAATTTGAAATCTGTGTAAATTGCAAGCTCAATTTTTCTCTTTGAGACAATGTACCTCCTCATCACAATGTACATTACTTTGTCTAAAACTGAGCATGGTTAGAGTGCACAAATCATATATTGAAATACTGAATGTCAGGAAATGAATGAGTTTTTATAGCCTATCACAGCCACATTGTATAAGCTTGATGGCCATGCTACATAATACAGGTTCTGTCTGTTCAATTAGCACTTTAAAAAGAGTTTTAGAATTATACTTAATACAGGATAATTACATATTACTATTTTAACATAAAAGTTATCACATTGTAATTTAAGTTTAATTGCACTTTATGAAAATTTTAAAAATTTAAAAAGTACATAAACATTGAATAATTAAAAAGAAACAAAGTACTTGCATTAAAAATGAGTTCATTCAACCATATAAAGAACAGTTAGTTATTCTACTGTGGATGAAGTTTAAAAATGATGAAAAGTTTAGTATCCAAAACTTTTTTCTATAGATTTGGTAAAAAATTAAAGTCTAGTGTTAAAATAATTTGTGATTATTTTTTTGGGCATTCATAAGTCACATTTTTAGCTGATTAAAATTTTAAAATTATGTTTTGATCTTACAGAAAGCAACGAGGAAGCAAAAAAAAAGTTGAAACTTCTAAAGCAGATCCACAGAGTGACAGTGAAGAGAAAGTGGTAGGTTCATAAAATCCTACCTTGTTTTGTACCAGCTTTTAATTTACATTCATCTTGTTTTCTTACTGAATCACAGTACATTCTGTATATATTTTACACTTACCTCTGTTAAACCACCATTTTACACTTGAGTTGTGTAATACCACAGAGTATAGGACATTTCACCACCACCCCCCCCCCGTCAACTTCAGATTGATATGTTAAGGAGATTGAGATGGATAAGAATTTTGATGTTTACCGATATACGTATATTTACCTCAAATGTTGCTCATGTGTAGTGTTTTTATTTTAATACAAAGTATTAAGGTACTAATACTATACTAGTTGTATTGTAATCGAGCACAAAATTGAAGTTGAGATTTTCACAAATCTTGACATTTTACTCCTCCTTGAGTAGAAAAACTTCGTTTTGCAATTTTTGTCTGTGCTTCTATAGACACAATAACTTGAGTAGTGTTTCAGTTATGTTGACGAAATTTAATATACAAGTATTTTATTAAATTTGTAGTTCTATATCACCTTTTGAATGATTTTTGGTAACCGGAAGTGGTACATACTCTGCTTCCGCTTTCTGAAAAGCCAATAACTTAAGTACGGTTTAAAATAATTGTACAAAATTTCACATACAAGTATTACATTGATTGCGCATATTTCTTTGAAATTTTGAATGATTTCTGATAATTGGAACTGGTATTTTACTGTATTTTTGTGGGATAGCACTAATTTGAGTACTATTTCAATTAAAAAGACAAATTTTCATATATAAGATTTTATTATTGGATCACTTTAAATTTTTGAGTGACCTCCGATAACTGGAAGTGGTACGCTATTTCCAATTTCTCAAAAAAGGTAAGCGATGTTTCCTTTGTAAAATAAAGGTTGAAGCAATCGTCTGCAATCTTCAGTTGAGCTGAACATATTTGTTCTTTGAAGCTTCTGTTTGATTAACTCCAGCTAGATGACGTTCCAGTTCCAGGTGCTGTAGACAGTTAATATTATCCATTGTTCCGAACATCATCATTCTGTAAACGTCAGTCGGTCCGGAATCCCTCAAGACAAAATTTTGCCCTCTTGTTGTCGTTTGAAGAGGTTCAGGAATTGTTATCTCTGCAACGTTCTGCGGATTTGGTTATGGCAGCTGCTTGCGTTTTCTCTGTCTTTCTATTGCACATTGTGAAGCGACGTATGCCGGCAAACGAGGTGCTACTTCCATTGAAATTCCTGCTCTGGCTTGTATAATCTGCCTTGTTTTTTCCACCCCTTCCACTGCCCATTACTTTGCTTTTGGTTTTAGCCGGATCAGGAGCGTGATTGTGTTCCGATGATGACAGAAAAACATCGTTCAGCATTTCATCCGTCCTCGGCAGCCATCTTTCTTGCAGCATCTCCATGTCGTACTTCCATCAGCATTTGCTCTGTCCTTTCCACATCTGTAGCCTTCGACCAATATAATAACCTTTCTGTGATTTGATCTTCTCCGTGTTACTTGGGTTAGAAATATTTTCAAACTGCATTCATAACTTATTAACCATAATATATAAATCAACACATGTAGTTTTATCGTACCGCGGATTATTTAATTAAAACAAGTGTTAATCATGTCATATTCGTTTTGCGTACATGTGTTTTTTTAATTGACTGCGCACTTTTGTCGGCGCTCTTTTGCCGGGTGCTCTTATTTTAACATAGATGTTTATGTTAAACAGCAAGTTATAACAGGAGGTGTGATCATTTTAACATAGATGTTTATGTTAAACAGCAAGTTATAACAGGAGGTGTGATCGGTTATGAATGTGAAAAGCATTGAGGAAATTAAACTAGGATCTCTGAATGTAAAGCAAATATTTAATTTAAGAATGAACACACACATGCATCAGTTGCAACACAATGTGAAGTTCTTCAAATTCTACACAACATATAAAAAGGGCACTGGAAATGGGGGAACACCCCAAGAGATTCTTGGTCAAGAGGTACAAAACTTGAGGGACACATCTGCTTCATCATATGTCAAGAGAGCTACAAGCTAATCATGTTCCTTACCCAACCAAGCGATCAACCACTTTCTAGTGACAAACAGAATTTTAATATTTGGCACTGATCAATCCTCCACTTTATTGAAACAATCAACCCATTCAGAAACAACATTCATGGCGGATTTTTCATAAGTCAGCATAGCTGAAATAGAGTGACCGGCATTAGTTCTTTTACTCTCATAAATAGATGGCGATAGGTTTCATCCAAGGCTGTTCATCATTTAACAGAAAAGTACAGGCTCTTGGATTTCAGTCAAAGTAGTTAGGTTCTTTGGCTTTTGTGCCTATAGCAGACGTTGGAGATGTGTTCAAAGAACTTCGAGAACATACGGAAAACATCAATGAAATGCAACAGCAGTTGGATTATGTTGAGGATAATTGTATTGGAAGAGTTAGATGTTCAAGCCAAGCTGTTCCCTCACAGCACCAGCTCAAAAATGAGTTACCTCGCACCAACAGCAATGAAGGTTAGCCTCGTAAAATGCAAGCTGCAGTTGCTGCTGACTATCCTAATATCTGGCTCTTCATCAATATTCTGAAACGAGAACATGGTTTTAAGAAAGTGGTCAGCAGGACATCAATTTTCAACATTATTAATGACTATGCAAACAGACATGTTCATGAGGGATAGCTTACAATATTAAAATTTAAATTTATGTAAATGCTCCTTCGTTTTCTATTTCAGAAAATAAAAATTCAATAATATTTACTTTATATTGTTCAGTTATAATTTTATTCATATGTTTGTACATTTAGATTTTGTTGTTTATATTTTTGACGGGGGCGGGGTGGTTATGACCCAACACCACCATCATTTTACACTTGACCTCTGTAATACCGCTGCAGTCTAAAAATAGATTCTACATGGTTCTGGAACCAATGCTTTGAGAGAGAATATAGAACAATGTGCTTGATTGAATTTGTTTAGGTTTACTCTGATGGTGAAGGGAGTTGGATACACAGTGACAGAAGCAGCACAGGAACAGAGTATGAGGATGTGGAGCAGGACGGCCCAGACGAGGAGTGTTTTTACGAAGATTTAGAGACTTTTAAAAAGCCTTCAAATGCTGATGTCAAAAATAAACCATTGAGTAAACTGAAGAACATATTTTCTAATTCAAAATCCAAGGCTAAAAAAGTGTCAGCTGATACAGGTAGGTCTTTTTAAAACTGTCTTGGACATGAGTTTGGCATGTTTTTTCAAGCTCTGATCAAGTCAATGTTTCTTTGTCTCAGCAGCAGCTACAGACTCAGAGGGAGATTTGATTGATGAGATGGATGAAACTGATAATGACCAAGTGGACACTCTCTCCCGAACTAGCAGTGAACGCAGCAGTGGGCGCTTAACCAGAGAAGACACTACACTTAGCAGTATTTCAACAAACAATTCTGGAGTGAACATTGACGAGAGCTCATCAACTCAGACGACATCCATGCCTCCACCCCCTCCACTCCCTCCTCGAACATCCAAGGTTCTGAGCCAACCAGCAGAGAACTCCCCCCCTCTCCCACCCAGGAACCCAGCTTTATCCAACAAGGCTACCCTAGGCATCCCACTTGACACAGTGGTGCCAGTTTCTCCCCCTGGAAGAAACTCCAATTCATATGGCAACAAGTAAATCCTTCTCTCAATATTAGCACACATACACACACTCAGAGACTCACATTGAGCTGGCTTTCATAAGGAAGCCAGCTGCCAGTGTGAAAAGATATGTGATACTCATTCACTCATCTCACATTGTTTCATCTGTACACTTGATACTCATTCACTCATCTCACATTGTTTCATCTGTACACTTGATACTCATTCACTCATCTCACATTGTTTCATCTGTACACTTGATACTCATTCACTCATCTCACATTGTTTCATCTGTACACTTGATACTCATTCACTCATCTCACATTGTTTCATCTGTACACTTGATACTCATTCACTCATCTCACATTGTTTCATCTGTACACTTGATACTCATTCACTCATCTCACATTGTTTCATCTGTACACTTGAGCCATAGTAGCAATCACTCCAGTATTTTTATCTTGGTTATTTCACAGGAAAAGATTTTCTTATGGCTCAGATGGATTAGAATCATCAACAGGAAAACTTGGTATGTGTTTGTTATGAGCATGTCAGTGTTACAGGCGCTGGGTTAGGGTCAGTGTTACAGGCGCTGGGTTAGGGTCAGTGTTACAGGTGCTGAGTTAGGGTCAGTGTTACAGGTGCTGAGTTAGGGTCAGTGTTACAGGCACTGGGTTAGGGTCAGTGTTACAGGCACTGGGTTAGGGTCAGTGTTACAGGCACTGGGTTAGGGTCAGTGTTACAGGCTCTGGGTTAGGGGCAGTGTTACAGGCGCTGGGCCATGGTCAGTGTTACAGGCACTGGGTTAGGGTCAGTGTTACAGGCGCTGGGCCATGGTCAGTGTTACAGGCACTGGGTTAGGGTCAGTGTTACAGGCGCTGGGTTAGGGTCAGTGTTACAGGCGCTGGGCCATGGTCAGTGTTACAGGCGCTGGGTTAGGGTCAGTGTTACAGGCACTGGGTTAGGGTCAGTGTTACAGGCGCTGGGTTAGGGTCAGTGTTACAGGCGCTGGGTTAGGGTCAGTGTTACAGGCACTGGGCCATGGTCAGTGTTACAGGCGCTGGGTTAGGGTCAGTGTTACAGGCACTGGGTTAGGGTCAGTGTTACATTCACTGGGTTAGGGTCAGTGTTACAGGCGCTGGGTTAGGGTCAGTGTTACAGGCGCTGGGTTAGGGTCAGTGTTACAGGCGCTGGGTTAGGGTCAGTGTTACAGGCACTGGGTTAGGGTCAGTGTTACAGGCACTGGGCCATGGTCAGTGTTACAGACGCTGGGTTAGGGTCAGTGTTACAGGCACTGGGTTAGGGTCAGTGTTACAGGCTCTGGGTTAGGGGCAGTGTTACAGGCGCTGGGTTAGGGTCAGTGTTACAGGCACTGGGTTAGGGTCAGTGTTACAGGCGCTGGGTTAGGGTCAGTGTTACAGGCGCTGGGCCATGGTCAGTGTTACAGGCACTGGGTTAGGGTCAGTGTTACAGGCGCTGGGTTAGGGTCAGTGTTACAGGCACTGGGCCATGGTCAGTGTTACAGGCACTGGGTTAGGGTCAGTGTTACAGGCACTGGGTTATTGTCAGTGTTACAGGCGCTGGGTTAGGGTCAGTGTTACAGGCACTGGGCCATGGTCAGTGTTACAGGCGCTGGGTTAGGGTCAGTGTTACAGGCGCTGGGTTAGGGTCAGTGTTACAGGCACTGGGCCATGGTCAGTGTTACAGGCACTGGGCCATGGTCAGTGTTACAGGCTCTGGGTTAGGGTCAGTGTTACAGGCACTGGGTTAGGGTCAGTGTTACAGGCACTGGGCCATGGTCAGTGTTACAGGCGCTGGGCCATGGTCAGTGTTACAGGCGCTGGGTTAGGGTCAGTGTTACAGGCGCTGGGCCATGGTCAGTGTTACAGGCGCTGGGCCATGGTCAGTGTTACAGGCACTGGGCCATGGTCAGTGTTACAGGCACTGGGTTAGGGTCAGTGTTACAGGCGCTGGGTTAGGGTCAGTGTTACAGGCGCTGGGTTAGGGTCAGTGTTACAGGCACTGGGTTAGGGTCAGTGTTACAGGCACTGGGTTAGGGTCAGTGTTACAGGCACTGGGTTAGGGTCAGTGTTACAGGCGCTGTTCAAAGTAAATTATGTCACAACTAATGAATGTTGAGAAAGTTCTGAAATTTTTTATTTAAACAGATTACATTGACCAAGATCCTGCATCTCCAAATACATTAGAGAAACTTGAAAGATCTGAGTAAGTTTATAATAATTAAAAGAGATTGATGTCTGTTGATATTTAGATTTTTTTTTTATAATCATCTGTTAAGTCATCTAACTGGCAACACACCAAACCTGATGTTGACATCTAACTGGCTACACACCTGACCTGATGTTGACATTCGACTGACCTGATGTTGACATCTAACTGGCAACACACCAAACCTGATGTTGACATTTGACTGGCAACACACCAAACCTGATGTTGACATCTAACTGGCAACACACCAAACCTGATGTTGACATCTGACTGGCTACACACCTGACCTGATGTTGACATTTGACTGGCAACACACCAAACCTGATGTTGACATTTGACTGGCAACACACCAAACCTGATGTTGACATTTGACTAGCAACACACCAAACCTGATGTTGACATTTGACTGGCAACACACCAAACCTGATGTTGACATTTGACTGGCAACACCAAACCTGATGTTGACATTTGACTGGCTACACACCAAACCTGATGTTGACATTTGACTGACCTGATGTTGACATCTAACTGGCAACACACCAAACCTGATGTTGACATTTGACAGGCAACACACCAAACCTGATGTTGACATTTGACTGGTAACACACCAAACCTGATGTTGACATTTGACTGGCAACACACCAAACCTGATGTTGACATTTGACTGGCAACACACCAAACCTGACGTTGACATTTGACTGACCTGATGTTGACATCTAACTGGCAACACACCAAACCTGATGTTGACATTATTTGACTGGCAACACACCAAACCTGATGTTGACATCTAACTGGCAACACACCAAACCTGATGTTGACATTTGACTGGCAACACACCAAACCTGATGTTGACATTTGACTGACCTGATGTTGACATCTAACTGGCAACACACCAAACCTGATGTTGACATCTGACTGGCAACACACCAAACCTGATGTTGACATCTGACTAGCAACACACCAAACCTGATGTTGACATTTGACTGACCTGATGTTGACATCTAACTGGCAACACACCAAACCTGATGTTGACATTTGACTGGCTACACACCTGACCTGATGTTGACATTTGACTGGCAACACACCAAACCTGATGTTGACATCTAACTGGCAACACACCAAACCTGATGTTGACATTTGACAGGCAACACACCAAACCTGATGTTGACATTTGACTGGCAACACACCAAACCTGATGTTGACATTTGACTGGCAACACACCAAACCTGATGTTGACATTTGACTGGCAACACACCAAACCTGATGTTGACATTTGACTGACCTGATGTTGACATCTAACTGGCAACACACCAAACCTGATGTTGACATTTGACTGGCAACACACCAAACCTGATGTTGACATCTAACTGGCAACACACCAAACCTGATGTTGACATTTGACTGGCAACACACCAAACCTGATGTTGACATTTGACTGACCTGATGTTGACATCTAACTGGCAACACACCAAACCTGATGTTGACATTTGACTGGCAACACACCAAACCTGATGTTGACATTTGACTGGCTACACACCAAACCTGATGTTGACATTTGACTGACCTGATGTTGACATCTAACTGGCAACACACCAAACCTGATGTTGACATTTGACTGGCAACACACCAAACCTGATGTTGACATTTGACAGGCAACACACCAAACCTGATGTTGACATTTGACTGGCAACACACCAAACCTGATGTTGACATTTGACTGACCTGATGTTGACATCTAACTGGCAACACACCAAACCTGATGTTGACATTTGACAGGCAACACACCAAACCTGATGTTGACATTTGACTGGTAACACACCAAACCTGATGTTGACATTTGACTGGCAACACACCAAACCTGATGTTGACATTTGACTGGCAACACACCAAACCTGACATTGACATTTGACTGACCTGATGTTGACATCTAACTGGCAACACACCAAACCTGATGTTGACATTTGACTGGCAACACACCAAACCTGATGTTGACATCTAACTGGCAACACACCAAACCTGATGTTGACATTTGACTGGCAACACACCAAACCTGATGTTGACATTTGACTGACCTGATGTTGACATCTAACTGGCAACACACCAAACCTGATGTTGACATCTGACTGGCAACACACCAAACCTGATGTTGACATCTGACTAGCAACACACCAAACCTGATGTTGACATTTGACTGACCTGATGTTGACATCTAACTGGCAACACACCAAACCTGATGTTGACATTTGACTGGCTACACACCTGACCTGATGTTGACATTTGACTGGCAACACACCAAACCTGATGTTGACATCTAACTGGCTACGCACCTGACCTGATGTTGACATTCGACTGACCTGATGTTGACATCTAACTGGCAACACACCAAACCTGATGTTGACATTTGACTGGCAACACACCAAACCTGATGTTGACATCTAACTGGCAACACACCAAACCTGATGTTGACATCTGACTGGCAACACACCAAACCTGATGTTGACATTTGACTGGCAACACACCAAACCTGATGTTGACATTTGACTGGCAACACACCAAACCTGATGTTGACATCTGACTGGCAACACCAAACCTGATGTTGACATTTGACTGGCTACACACCTGACCTGATGTTGACATTTGACTGGCAACACACCAAACCTGATGTTGACATTTGACTGGCAACACACCAAACCTGATGTTGACATTTGACTAGCAACACACCAAACCTGATGTTGACATTTGACTGGCAACACACCAAACCTGATGTTGACATTTGACTGGCAACACCAAACCTGATGTTGACATTTGACTGGCTACACACCAAACCTGATGTTGACATTTGACTGACCTGATGTTGACATCTAACTGGCAACACACCAAACCTGATGTTGACATTTGACAGGCAACACACCAAACCTGATGTTGACATTTGACTGGTAACACACCAAACCTGATGTTGACATTTGACTGGCAACACACCAAACCTGATGTTGACATTTGACTGGCAACACACCAAACCTGATGTTGACATTTGACTGGCAACACCAAACCTGATGTTGACATTTGACTGGCTACACACCAAACCTGATGTTGACATTTGACTGACCTGATGTTGACATCTAACTGGCAACACACCAAACCTGATGTTGACATTTGACAGGCAACACACCAAACCTGATGTTGACATTTGACTGGTAACACACCAAACCTGATGTTGACATTTGACTGGCAACACACCAAACCTGATGTTGACATTTGACTGGCAACACACCAAACCTGACGTTGACATTTGACTGACCTGATGTTGACATCTAACTGGCAACACACCAAACCTGATGTTGACATTTGACTGGCAACACACCAAACCTGATGTTGACATCTAACTGGCAACACACCAAACCTGATGTTGACATTTGACTGGCAACACACCAAACCTGATGTTGACATTTGACTGACCTGATGTTGACATCTAACTGGCAACACACCAAACCTGATGTTGACATCTGACTGGCAACACACCAAACCTGATGTTGACATCTGACTAGCAACACACCAAACCTGATGTTGACATTTGACTGACCTGATGTTGACATCTAACTGGCAACACACCAAACCTGATGTTGACATTTGACTGGCTACACACCTGACCTGATGTTGACATTTGACTGGCAACACACCAAACCTGATGTTGACATCTAACTGGCAACACACCAAACCTGATGTTGACATTTGACAGGCAACACACCAAACCTGATGTTGACATTTGACTGGCAACACACCAAACCTGATGTTGACATTTGACTGGCAACACACCAAACCTGATGTTGACATTTGACTGGCAACACACCAAACCTGATGTTGACATTTGACTGACCTGATGTTGACATCTAACTGGCAACACACCAAACCTGATGTTGACATTTGACTGGCAACACACCAAACCTGATGTTGACATCTAACTGGCAACACACCAAACCTGATGTTGACATTTGACTGGCAACACACCAAACCTGATGTTGACATTTGACTGACCTGATGTTGACATCTAACTGGCAACACACCAAACCTGATGTTGACATTTGACTGGCAACACACCAAACCTGATGTTGACATTTGACTGGCTACACACCAAACCTGATGTTGACATTTGACTGACCTGATGTTGACATCTAACTGGCAACACACCAAACCTGATGTTGACATTTGACTGGCAACACACCAAACCTGATGTTGACATTTGACAGGCAACACACCAAACCTGATGTTGACATTTGACTGGCAACACACCAAACCTGATGTTGACATTTGACTGACCTGATGTTGACATCTAACTGGCAACACACCAAACCTGATGTTGACATCTGACAGGCAACACACCAAACCTGATGTTGACATTTGACTGGTAACACACCAAACCTGATGTTGACATTTGACTGGCAACACACCAAACCTGATGTTGACATTTGACTGGCAACACACCAAACCTGACGTTGACATTTGACTGACCTGATGTTGACATCTAACTGGCAACACACCAAACCTGATGTTGACATTTGACTGGCAACACACCAAACCTGATGTTGACATCTAACTGGCAACACACCAAACCTGATGTTGACATTTGACTGGCAACACACCAAACCTGATGTTGACATTTGACTGACCTGATGTTGACATCTAACTGGCAACACACCAAACCTGATGTTGACATCTGACTGGCAACACACCAAACCTGATGTTGACATCTGACTAGCAACACACCAAACCTGATGTTGACATTTGACTGACCTGATGTTGACATCTAACTGGCAACACACCAAACCTAATGTTGACATTTGACTGGCATAACACCTGACCTGATGTTGACATTTGACTGGCAACACACCAAACCTGATGTTGACATCTAACTGGCAACACACCAAACCTGATGTTGACATTTGACAGGCAACACACCAAACCTGATGTTGACATTTGACTGGCAACACACCAAACCTGAT